TAGTGCTATACAAATTATATCCAATCCATTTATTTATGTGCAGAAATCTTTGTAAGTAAACATGTACCTGTCAAACACTTTCCCCACAGATCAAGCATTTTCATGATTCTTGTGGATGAGTTTATTGCACACGTATAAGATTTGTTGTCATTTTTTTTACATTGTTCCGCATGAAGGGATCTTTGTCACAGAAAATGTACTCAGGATTGGAGGTAGGCATTTATCAAACTAACAAATTTCCCACATCTCTTCATCACTCCCCATTGCTAAATCTGAATTTTTATGCAGCCTGTTAAAGCTACATCATGTGCTACACAAGCAAAATCCAAATGAGAACCTGTCAAAAGAAATACGCAATACATGACATCTGGCTGGTATCCTGTTTTCTGCTGAGCAAATAGTTCATTTAACGTAGCAACCCCTGGTCTTTCATCCTCATTAGAGGGGAGGAGTTAAACCTCATCCCACACGACTACCTCCCGCAAATCCCTACAATCCACTACAGACCAAGCGCTGTACCATTGCGTAATTGGATTAATAGCATAGCTTTTTATCTGATAAGTAAAACTGATGTGGAGGGCAAGACGATTTTAAGCAGTCACCCGGCAAACTAATATTTATAGAGTGCCGTCTTCGTCGGTTTCTTGTCTCCTACCATTTCCCCAATATATATATGAGTCTGTTAGCTCACAGTACCGGAATAGTGCATTAAACAATCGGTGTCGCCTATATATAATTTTTTTTTGCTTACTCGACGAAGGAAGAAAACAAACTTCCAAATGCCCTGTGTGTCGGGCAGCCCAGCATTAACGATCAACAAGATGGATTGCTGGATTTACGGGAGTCCACAAAGCTAGCCCTGGGGTAGTAATTCTAATCGATTCTTGATTAAAAATCGGTGTGCCAATATTTGCTTTTCGGCGGGGGGATGTATATTGCAGATTACTGTCGGTGCACCAGCGTGGTGTCTTGATAATTTAATTTCTCATTCCATGCAAATATTGTAAAATGTCGAAGGGGAAAATTGGCAAACCTTAACCGCCAGAATACAAGAATCACTGTATAATGTTTGTGCACGGCAAACTAATCAAACATCTTAATAAACATAAAATCAAATTTATTCAATTCCGTTGTGTAGGCTTCAGAAATCTGACAAGATTTTGTTTTGGACTAAACTATTTTAACAGTCAGCTCCAAAGTTGTAAAATCGGTTTTCAACCGTATCATCGAGTACTGGCTGACAAATGATACACGAGATTTTTACGTCGTTTCACGATTGTTTTTGAACGTTTGACCAGGGGAATTTTGTGTCTCAATTATGCAACACCGCGAATGCCGAGATTGGGGCGATATTGAACGAGGCCATGCACGGAAGAACAGAATTTAGCTTGACTTGATCCATTCCAAGGTTATTCATCTTATTTCAAAATTCCCTCGTGACTGCTGCACAAATTTTGGATCCTACAGCATCCACGATTAATTACTGAGGAAAACAACGCTAGTGACAGTATCACGATTCCTGGCAAGAATCGGTATTCTGATCGGGAAATCGAGTGTCTGTTAAAAGACCGTAAATATTCGACCTTACATTTTAATTTTTCACTTTACACAAATGTGAGCTTTCCAATAAGACAGTGATTATAATTGAAAACTGAAATAGACCTACAAAAAGTCCCAGAACACAACTTCAGTTCCAAATTTGGCGCATGATTTTCTGTACGATTCCACGCAAAACACTTATTTTGGACAGTAATTTTGACGACCAAATAGAATGCAGTTGTTTTCTTCTTTGTTACAAGCGTGGGGAAAATGCATTACACAGATTTTTAAAGAGCAAGCACATACCCGGCCTTTGATGCACTGACCTAGGTCAGGGACCCTGAATGGCAATATTGTGACGTCTGCAATACAATACAGCGTGACGTCTGCAAAGCGAATGGCCAAATATTTGTACAAAACAAGAGCAAATGCGGTACAAGATCGTGAATGAAGCACCAAAGCATGGCAAGTCTTGGCAGAATGCTGTTTAGAACACTTTGCAACGTGAAAACATCGCTTTAACAAACAAGAAAATAATCGTATACGGTACAACGAATCAATGTTGCTCGCTGTTTCAGCGAGCTAGCCTGTTTTCAGCCAATCACAAGCTAAACCTGTGCGTTTCATGAATTCATTATGAACCTGAAACGTGTACCCTGTAAAGTTCAGCAATACCTTGCGTTGAAGGAAAGTGAAAAAATACTGACAAAACAGCAACCATTGCAAGCTGTTTTTTTTAACACCACTGCAACAACTACAATTCCTTCAACGCTTACAGGCGGAGTATAGTATCATAAATTTGGGCACGATATAACTCGATCATTCCCTGGCATATATGAGCGTTTCCATTCTTTAAACTGCCACTAAAGGCATTTTATACGGGACTTTCTTGACTCTTTAATTAAAATCACATGCTGTCCACGAAGAAACCCAATTCCCTGGCTGAACTTTTCAAGGGGCATCTTGTCCGTGTGCATACTGCACGAACAGTTCTACCTCACACAATCTAGCATTACCGCCTCATTGAGTTTAAAGGATCCAAGAGGGTTGTATAAAATTTGTGCAGTTAGCGGTTAACCGGGACAAGTAAGTGAAAGGGTTGACAAATACATGTACAATGTACAGCAAGCCGACCAGGGAGTATTGAAACACCATCAGCCCATCTCTATTCAACGCCAGGGACGGCCCTCAACCAAGCTATTATCATTGTTTACAAAGCGAACTAAACGCGAATCTTATCGTCCACCACAGGGTAGTCGATTGCCCTACTCTAACCCACCTTGTCAAATAGGAATTCCTTTGTCGTGGGGTCGATAGTATTTCGTTGCGTTATATAATAAAATGAACGGAAGCCAAGTCAAAGTTTTTCCTTGAGGGTAGGCCTATGCACAACTTTTAACACAGGTTTTTAGCGATTTAACACTGAACATTCCAGAACCCCCCCCCAGCAACTTACGTTGCTGCCAGTGACAGATATGGCTCTGTACGATAGCTGAAACCACAATGTCAGTACCACCATTGGTGGGGGCCACTGCACAGCCAGTGATAGCTTTACCATGGTCATAATTCGTCTACGTGGTTATAAGTATAAAGTTGATCAAAGAAAATTACTGTACAGGGGTGGGATTTGAACCATCGTCCTACCACTTCTCAAACAACAGAACGGCGCTCTATCAACTGAGTGACCCCTCCCCCCGTCAGTGGTTCCTTCTGTACCCCCCCTCAGTGGTTCCTTCCCGTCGCCAACTTACTTTTCACACTTGCAGCTGGCTACTGAATTTAACTCGGCGCAGAGCTTACTGCCAAGTGATTAAAACTATTTACAAGAATTACTTTTGTCTTTGTTAACGGCTTTGCTTCCTTATCTTATAAACTTTTGAGCAGTTTATCTGGGTGCAAAGAATGGAAGTTATGTCACAGGCTCAAGACGGTTCTATTAACTTTAAAAGGGCAGAAGGCATTTATCTATCAAGCAACGTTCAAGATATCGCACTATCTTGCTTCTTTCTCACTGTATTTTCGTCTTCTGCAGCTTGTAATTGCTAAAAATAACACCTCTCCTAAGTAAAACCACAACGTCAAAGGACCGCGACAAATAGGCCTCTACAGGGAATCCACTGGTAAACAAAACTGTTTGGCGTATACGAGTTGAAAGGATTGGTGCTTTGTAAACGACAGAGAGGTACATGCACAAAGGTACGGAGATACAATAGAATCATCGATAACTGTACATTCGATCAAGCTGCGAGATCTATCAGCTGTGTCCCACTTAACTACAACCAGTCAGACTTTCAACAAACTTTGTTTATGGTTTACGTGAAACCTGTGCCCTCAGATGGCCGACGATTTTCTCCCCGGTTACATGAACATCTGACTGGTGGTGCCTGTCTCGAACCTAAAAGTCGAACGATCAGATGCCTTCCAAGATTTGCGTATCGATTCGATGACAGAGCTCTATCGCTAAGCTTGCGCTATTTCAATCGCCATTTCATTTTTTAGAGGTAAGCTGATGCCAAACCGTCAATAGTACGCTGCTCATTATTCATTTATACGATCCCGTTTACTGAAGTGCTATTTTAGTCGTTTACGTCACCATGCATACATGCAAACTCAATGACAAATGTCACTTCTTCACCTGATCACTACCATTATTGTACACTTCAGGCACTGCGTGTCATTGCTTCGCACCAGACAATATTGTGAGTTAATCTTTCCCCAGCGCCTCAGACAGATAATTCCCCGTTTCCTAGGACGCTGAACAAAAATGTCAGGCTGATTGAATTTCAGTGCGATGGTTGTCTTCAGCAAGCTCTAATTTAAGCCAATCAACCCCCCCCGGAAAAAAACTGCAGGTGACCAAAAAAATTGACTGGAAGAAAACATCTCCAGCCTTCACAAATAACCCTACAGTGCTCTCAAGTATTTTTCATCTTAATAATAAATAAGTCTAAATTTTAGATTATTTATTTTAAAAGAAATCATTTTGTATTTGTAGGTAAAGAGTTCTATGCACGAACATTACTCATTTTTCTCCTGCAGTAGCTTATTATCCATCAGAAAGTGTCACGTCCTAAAAAGTCAAACTGAGCTGGCAAAGTGTCCTTTACTTCGAAACCTTTATCCCGCCTGGAATTTTTCAGACTATGCAATTTCACAGGGTTTGCGCAACTCATAACACTTTATGCACCGGCAACTGTTGAAGAAAATTCATTTTCAAAGAAAACCATTGCAGTGACAGGTGAATACAATTTCTGAAATTTATCATGCCAAACACTATAATACTGCAGCCTACCTACAGGCCAAGTGCAGAGTTACTCCATCTGCCCGTGGTTAGAACGACACCTGGGGTCGCAATCGCATCTCACTGGCATGACAGAACCTAATCTAAAAGTACATGTACAGGTGACAACGTACAGTGCAACTTCAGAATGGGTGGTATCACCATGGTGTTACCAACTCACCTTTTATGTTATTTCCCAATCTAGTCACCAAAGTCGAGATGAAGAATATGACGCCTAGAAATACCAGCCTTCTGCCCATAAACAATCCCCGAGTGCGCCTCATAATCTCTTGACACACGCTGTGTGTATAGCCGACCACCACTGAAAGACCGAGAGCTAGAAATCACAGCAGCGCAGACTCTATTTGTTTATGGGTAATCCCGAGCTTTGTCACCGCCGCAGCGAGCAGCAATGACCCGGTGATTCCAACACCACCGAATGGACCGTAGCGTCCAACGCTTTCCTCTTCTCGGATCACCCACGATGGAACCTACAGAGCGTCTGTTGACACAACCAGTTCAGATTTTCCATAATCCAACTCAGATGTGCTTTCTCGATCAATTCGTCAGTGAGAAATGAGCAGAATATTTGTTCAGTGTTTGGAAATGTAGAGCGTCTGGTTCAGCCACTTTCATGCACAGGGCACACACCTCGCGCACACAGCACTTCGCTTGACGTTTTGCACCCAGCTTTTTTTTTTTATTTTTTATTTTATACACAATGCAAGTGTACAATGTTCGTTACAAGAGAAATCCCCACGTGAGTGTCCGGGCACTTGGCATACGATATGGTACAGGGTGCATGTACATGTATGCACTATCCCATGATATGCGCGCTATGCGAGTCAGCTGCGTTGAGGAAAAAAAATCCCTCAGCCAATTGAATGACCGGAATCGGTTTCCCATGGTGACGTGAGCCCTGGGAAGTGACGTCAATGGGATGGAGAGAAAAGAAAAGCCGCCACAGTCGGCTGAACTTTTAGGCCGACAATCCGAAGCGTAAACAGAGTGTGAAAATAATAACTCGAGGGTCGCGCAAAGATCAGATTGTGTATCTCAGAGTCAACAAAAAACGGCGAGTAAAAATGTCTCGCGTGTATGTCCCCACGGTTACACTACCAAAAGACTTCCCGATGCCACAACTACAGTTTTTGCTTTGTATAATCATTAATAGGCCACTACATATCGGGGTCTGACTGGTTATGGAAGCAGAGCATGCACCAAAAAAAATTAATTAAGAATAAAAGGTTTGCGCAAAGTATTGAATGGTCAAAGAATTCGACAAGGACGGTGGCCCTATAAATTAATCAATATGAGCTACGCAGCGCGAAGGATCTTTTCTATGAGTCAAGATTTGGGCCGTTTTCCAATACTCAACTTCGGCTCCGTCTCAGGCTTCAACTGTTTTTTAACTAGCTGACGTTGAAGCTGTAAGCGCAGTAATTAGTTTAATGGTGCCACAAAACATCAAATAAGATGCAAGGGAGCCAGAAATTACAGTAATCCAATTTAATTTAAACCCTTCAGGCCCACAATCGGGGATTGGTTTTGGCAACGAAGCCTAAGACGGAGCCCAAGTCGAGTATTGGAAAAGGGCCTTGGCCAAGATCCACTATAGAGCGTCGCATGGTGACACAAACATTATGTACCCTATAATGTGAAACTTATAATGTGCATGAGATTGTTGGTCAAGCAATTTTGACCTGGATTTTTACAGTGAACAACTGTGGATGTGCTTGTATAGCAGATTATTACTGGTATTCTTGAGAAGCCAAAGTCTGCGGGAAACGAGTCACAGGTTTAAAATATATGAGAAAAAGCATCGTGTGACAGTTTGCGGTATGGCCGGCAAATTATCCACTCATCTGATGGAAGCCACTTATTTCCGTACTCACCAACTCCATGAAATCCAGGGCTCCTCGAAGACCGGAAAACACGTGCCAACACTATTTAAAGTATGTCCTTTGCCTCCCTTCCGCTTTACAAAAATGTTTTGTAATAAATAGTAGAAGCTTTCATAAATTTGTCCAGTATTGTATGCTCCCTAAAGAAAGTTAACAATTAATTTCTCATTTGTAACCCCAAGTTAATGTGCACTTTTCCAAAGCAGTCTACGTTAATCACCAAAAAAGGTGGCAGAGGTAAACGGTATATACCAATAGTAAATAAATAATGAATGTTTATGAGTGCAGTGGTAAGAATAATTTCATGAGGTGACAGATGAAATGATCCATTCCACTGGGCTTCGCCTCGTGGAAGCGATCAGTTCATCACCGTATGAAATTTTTCTTAGTCAGTGCACGAATGTGAAATATTCATTGTTTGATTTATACAATACCTGCATAAATCTTCTTCTGTTCGGAGAGCAAATAGTCTATGGTCGAGTTTGGGCGGTCTGTTCTCGTGTGTTCACGAACAGCTCGATTTGTTGTTCGTGGGTCGGCCGCTCTAACGCTGGGACAACTTGAAACAACCGGTTATCGCTGGTAGTTAGTGGCAAGCCACATGCAACATGGCGGCGTCTATGTACGTTCTTCGAAGGTTAATGTTTGGATAACTTGGCTGAATTCTGTTTTGTTTTAAAAAGAACCTTCATTACTGTGTCATGGAAAATTATTAATATTATTTAAAAAAAAAAATTCCCACTGTGTCTCCGGCTTTGTAAACCACCTCACTATTTTTGCGACTGTTCAAAAATCACAATCCCACTAGTGTTTCCGTGTTCCTGTAAAACCCTGACGAGGAGGTGGTGAGTGATTCTGTTCTGGGAACAGTGTTCTTGGGTCGTGTTCCCGCTGTTCCATCGAGAGTATAAGAGAGCCGTGTCTAGAACAGGCCGCCCGAACTTGACCTATAGGTCTAACTCGCCTATTAACATCCGTCAGTTTACGAAACAGATTCGTATCCGAAGTTCTACGCTCTGGTATAGTACCGTGCAATGTTCGACCGTATTTTGGGGAATGGGGGACAGGAATCAATCAGGTGAAATGAAGATCTATCCAACAGGTCCCATTGAACAGAAAGAATAATTCGATGACGTGATCAACGATCCACCAATCAGCTGACGGGGATTTATGCAAGTATTGAACAAAACGTGTTATTATAATAAGAAAGCGCTTGTTGCACACTAACAAATATATGCATGTATTACTTGATCAACAATCATTGTGAAAAGCAAGGTATGCAAATTATTTATTCTGTCGGTTTTCCCCCGTGGTTATACATACTCTCTGTCTGAAACTCATAAGGGAGCAGTTTCCATTTAAGTCAGCCATAGAGCCCGGCTTATCAATCAGGAGAGGGTCGGATATCTTGCTTTTACAGAAAGGATGTGCAGGACCCCTTTAATGGCTTCTACATGTCGATGCGGTGCACTTGGTAATTAGTTTCGAATGTTAACGGATAAGTGGTAGAGAGGTTTCACCTTGAATCGACAAAAATAGCTCATAAAATGATCACAGTATGATCACTTTGACCTCGTAAAATTTAATCCGTGAAAACAGACCTTTTTTTCTGACAGAGAAAAAAATCCAATTTATAAAAAGAAAATCAGAAAAATAATTCTAGAAAAGTGTGTACTTGATTTTGGATTTTCCGGTTTGTCCAGTAAAGACTCGTTAGCCTATGTAATATGCTCTTTTCCAGACCACATCAAGTACTTCCAGTATCACTACAGACCTTTTTCGCCCACGTGACTGAATTGCGCTAAATGCAAATAATACCACCATGTGTGGACCGCTTTGGCCATGGTGATCGCCTATATTCCTAGGGGCAGCTTCAACCACGTGCAAACGCACGTGCGAAGCTGCACGTTTGACTAGTTTATAGGTAGATTACCATCACAACACTTTGCACTCACTACGACCATCACAACACATCATAGGTCCAGCACGATCGTTACATAGCAGGGAAAAGGTACAGGTCTATACCGTCAGTGTGACGGATGTGTCAAATAAGATGTGTTGGGGAAACCCCTATCGCCAGTCCTGCGCGTTGGAATGGTACACGTGGCAAGCGGAGGTATGCATTTACTACACGCATCCGTTGCATATGAAATCCTCATAACTTACAAGGGTGGTGTCTGGCCTGGGGCAATTGTTAAGATTCAGTTATTCTTGCGAAACTAGATTTCAACTGCATATTCAAACTGAGCACATTTGGCTGGACTGAAATACTGGGGTTGTCTGCCCCAAATCCTGAGCATATAATTACTGAAACATTTTGGGTTTTACCCCAGTTCTTGTCTTGACCGTAAAATTGTTTTAAGAGTGTACTGCTGTTTTACTTCCCGTCCATTTTCGCACGGGAATTGTTCTAAAAGTTTGTTCTGACTACCTGTGCATATAATGGTGAGGCGGACCGCAACCTACAGCAACTCGATTCAATGTCAAAATCGATCGTGGTTCTCTTCAGATTCGAATCTGCTGACCAACCATGGTGAGCTCAGTGTTCAAATGGTTGAGACTTAAACACTTGTACAGAGGAGGACCGTTAGCTCAAACCTGCTTGGCATCATTCGCAGTAGTGTTTTGTACAGCGGCCAGGGCCCAGCCATGGTAAAAAAATAACCAGCAATGGGTAAAGCCTGAATGCTAACATGTACCCATTGGGGTATCTAAGGGAAGGGGCTGAGAGTACTCCACCTCCGATGGATTTTTAATTAAAACAATATTTCATTTCATTTGTTTTTTAGTTTTTTTTCAACTGAGATTACTTCATTTAGGTGAGTAGGAAGAAACTAATCGGTATATAAAATTATCAAATAAGGCTATATTTTTTTCTCCGGCATTATTATGTTGAATTTGCTTTTGAATTTGCCCCCCCCCACACACCAAAAGCTGGATATGCCACTGAATGTACCCTACGGTATTTGACAAAAAAAAAACATTCTATTTTAGTCAACCAGAGAAGTGCTCAATTTGAGTACTATAACCGGGTGAAGAATTGCTCTCTGCAAATCAGAACTTGGTAATAGTTCACAACATATACATATCACTGACAATGTGTTAATGATCAAGCCGGGGGATACTGATGTTTAGCGTGTGGTCCATGCCTTGCGGTACCACTCACGAGAATGGTTACTTTAGAGTGACAATCCTGCGGCTGGATTCGAGAGAGCGCGCATAGGGTAATTTTCATGTTTCCCGAACTAACTATTCGAGGAATTAGGAGTTTCTTATTTTACACGGTGACCTGCAGGAATTTTCGACACATTTCCCCATCAAACGATGCACTATCTATCCAAAACTAAAATTGGAAATAATGGGCATGTTTGGCGACCCGAACAATGAATTTGTTTCAGCTTTGAGCGTTTTTTTTTGGGGGGGGGGATAAGCCGACAATTTTTGTCGCCCCCTCAATGAGTGAATATTACATTTCAAAATATACACGCAGCGAATGAAAGCAATACTTTAGAACGTATGTGAAAAGAGAGAGCAGCACTGATGAGACACATGCTAGATATTGAGTGAAATGATGTTCATCAACAGTGTGGTCTGCTTTCTTGCTTTGCCTCTGTCAGATGACGTAACCGTGTGAGGCGGCCATTGAAAATGAACAAAGCCAGAAAACCTGAGAGAAAATGATCATCAAAGTTACACTCCTGTACATTCTTTATGGCCTGCTCACGCTTCTTGCCGCCAAGGCCATTTGTGCACATGCTTGCATAATTATGAAGTTATTAGTGAAAAGGTCTATTATGAAGGAAAACCGGAATCGCTAAGCACTGAGAGCAGCTTACTGCCCGAGTCGTCCTCCGCACGAATACAAGTAGAACTGAATCATCTT